ATAGTAATTTTCCTGCCTCAGCCTTCCAAGTGCTGAGCTTTCATCATTTTCAATTTTTTTTCTGTAAAGATCTGCTTCAGAGAAAAATGACACAAGCTGGCCAATAGAAACCTCAAACCCATCTGAGGAAATAGAACTGAAACAGATGAACTTGAAAAAGCGTACTTTTTTTTTGTTTGTTTTGAGACAGGGTCTTGCTGTTTAGTTCCGGCTGACCTTTAATAACTATATAGCTCAAGATAACCTTGAACTGTGGCAGTCCTCGGCCTCAACCTTCAAATGCTGGCATTACAGGTGTGTGCCACCACACCCGGCTCATACTTATTTTTGCAGCAAGTATTTTAATGAAGATTAAGAGGCACAGCTGGGTTCATAAGCACACGTTTTTTACATGTGAGATAAAGTACTGGATTAACCTTGAATTAACCACCTGGATTTGTTTCATGTCATGTAAATATGCACATATGTAAATTTTCTTGTCCAAGTTTCCTCAAAGTCTCTTACACTATTTTAGTTTCATAGAAAACTACTTTTATGGTACTGGGTATTGAACCTAGAGTCTTTTCATTGAGTGACATCCCCAGCCCTTTTCAGCCTTACATCCCCAGCCCTTTTCAGCTTTTTTTAAATTTTTTTTTTATTTTGGGGGGGAGGGGCAGCTCAGCCCACCAGGGGGCAGGGCTGGCTGGCATGTGGTGCTGGGGGATTGAACCGCGGTCCCTATGCTTTGCTTAGCTTGTTCTAAGTAGGTGCTTTAGACCACTGAGCCATCTTACCAGCCCCGCCAGGCTGGCTTTGAATCTGTTCTTCTATTGCCTGAACTAAACTAGCTTTTTGAATTGCTGGATTACAGACATATGCCAACACCTTTTCTTGGTACCATTAATTGAACTCAGAACACTGCACTTGCTGGACAGGTGCTTGTTCTGTTGAGCTTTATCAACTGGCTCCAACACAGCTGTCTTAAAACTATCTTTTTGTTGTTTTGAGACAAGGTCTATGTAGTTTATTTTTATTATTTTAGGGAAGGGTCTACGGGTATTCAACCTCACTACTAGATCGGACTTGTAGTGATCCACCTGTTTATAGCTTCCCAAGAGCTGGGATTACAGGCACACGCCACCATGCCCAGTCTCATTTGCCTTCTCAGGGAGCCCCGGGGGTAGGGCCAGCACAATCCCTATGCCTACTTGCAGGCACTTTAATCCACTGAGCTATTGGCCGGCTCTCACTATGTAGTTTAGACTGGCTTTTGACTATATAGCTGAGGCTGTTCTCAAATTCGTCGCGATCCTCCTGCCCAAGACTCCCTAGTGCTGGGATTATAGGCATGTGCCACTATGTTTGGCAAAACTGCCTTTCAATAAGGTAAACCCAAAACAAATTTGGTTTATGAATTAAATGAGACAATTGGTTTGTAAAAGTAAATGTCCTGTACATATCCACGTTTGAGTTAATCAGGTCTCTCTGTGGTTAGAGTAGAAAGTCAGCTGAGACTGTTGGCATGAGGTGTTGCAGGCCGATGTGTTCTAGTGGTCTCTGGAGAGGCCAATCTATAAAACAGAGTGTAACTATGTCCGAACCTTAACAGTATCAGGAAGACAGTGACCAAGACAATGAGTGAATATTGCTGCTACAGTACTTTCTCTTATTCTACCCACTGAATTGGCACATAAAATTTGAACTTGCTTAACTATCTCTTCATAAGGCCAGACTAGCTTTGCTAATTTAAAATCATACACACATAGGGCTATAGCTCAGTGGTATAGCACCTGGCTTGCATGAGTGAAGTCGTAGGTTCAATACCTGCTTCCAAGCAAATAACAAAAATAAACCCCCAAAATACATAGTATACAAATTGTGTGTGCATGTGTGCACATGCATAGGCATGTGGTACCTGGGATTGAACACAGGGCCTTTATAATGAGCTTTGTCCCCAGCCCTCTTTTGAGAGGGTCTCCCTAAGTTGCCCAGGCTGGGATAGAACTTACCTTCTTGCCTCAACTTCCCAGAGTGCTGGAATTAGAGACATGTACCACCATATCCAGCTATAAATTGCCTTGATTTTTAATAATATGCCTTAAATTTATTTTCTAGACTGGGTCTGGCCATGAATTTACTATGTAGCCCAGGCTAACCTTCAACTCTTAGTGATTCTCCTGCCTCTGGCTCCTGAGTGCTGGGATTACAGGTCTGTGCCACCACAATCTGCCTCTTTAGAAAATGGTATCTTCGGGGCCGGGGAGATGGCTCAGTGGAATAAGCACTTGCCTGGCAAGCGCAAGGGCCTGAGTTCAATCCCTGGTTCTACCAAAAAAAAAAAAAAAAAAGAAAATGGTATCTTCTTTTTTCCTATTCTGGAACTTAATATGAATTGTGATAAGAACAAGCAAAGGACTACAAGAATGCCAGCATAGTTTATACTGATATACTTTGTCTAAGAGACCAACACACTTACTATTCTGTCTTATCAACGAAAGAGTACTACTCTCCATGATTTGATATTAAATCCAAATAGTCTCTTTTTATTTATGTATTTCATGTGAGGTTTCGCTACACAGATTGAACTTGCAGTAATCCTCCTGTTTCAGCCTCCCCAGCCGTGGCATTACAAGTGTGCACCACCACACCTGGTCTTGGTGGCTGGCTCGGTGTGCCTGGGGGCGGGGCTGGTGCAGCATGTGATGGGGATTGAACCTGGTCCCTGCACATACATATATATATTATACATATTATAAAATATATTTAGCTCAGGTATAGCAATCAGGAGAATTAAACATCACTTATCATCTACATTTCTTTATTCCTAGTGAGAACATCTGCAAATCACAATGGCACTTGTAGAATCCTTGCAGAGAAAGGCAATTTTCTAAAAACCAAGTCCTTTCCTTAGGGTAGAGTATGGAAGTCCTGGTAAGACCAAATGTAGACCTTAGCTCTTTTAGGCTAAGCTTTTCAAACACATCTTCTTTTATCTTTAGCCATAAATAACACTTGACTTTAACTGCAACTGACACTGAATATTCAACTGTTTACCTTTTACCTATCACTTCCTGAAGGAAGGGGATTCTCTAAAAAAGGTTCTAAAAATAAGTAAGAAGGTCTCAAAGATAAGCTGTTCCTTCTAATTTCTGACAGAAATTTCTTTGTATTAGCTTTTGGGAATCTTCAAACATTTTTGGCAAACTAAATTTAGACTAGTAAATCACAGGCTAAATAAAAAATCCTAAGCAGTCTCTTTTTAAAAAAAATTTATTTATTTATTTATTTATTTAATTTGTGTGTGTCCAGCTCAGCCCACCAGGGGGTGGGGCTGGCTGGCATGTGGTGCTGGGGGATTGAACTGCGGTCCCTGTGCTTTGCCAAGCTTGTTCTAAGTAGGTGCTTTTAGACCAGTGAGCCATCTCACCAGCCCCAAAAATGCAGAAGGGTTTTTTTTTTTTTTTTTTTTTGGTGGCTCCAGATTGACCTCCAGCGCTGGTCTGGGTTGCCTTGAGTATCTGGGAATTGAACCACCGCTCCCAGAGACTGACTGCCTCGTTTAAGCAGGCACTTAAACAACTGAGCTAATGGGCGGGTAACCTAAGCAGTCTCTTAAAGTTTGTGAACCAGACAAAATGGCAGCTAAAACAAACTAAAGAAACAACAGGACTACCTTATTTCCAAAATTAAAACAGGGAGGCATTCTTTCTATAGTGAATGCTATTCACACTCCTGAAGGGTTTGTGATTAAAGTCTAGTAGTCATAAGCGTAAAGCTATCTTTCCAAAATGACAAGATTTTTCAGAAATGACATATTATTTTACTTTTAGATACTTTAAAAATACATGGTAACTATGTTCTATTTCTTAGTTGAATTGTATTGCAGTAAGAGTCATGTTTCTAACTGCTTTTCTTAAATTAGTTAGGCTACCCTGATTACAAGTTTAAATACAGATAGTTGTGTTGCCATTATCAAAACAAACAAAATCAAAAGTCTCAAATCTTCCAGTAATATGACTTTAAACATAAGTTCAGTTATTGTGAGATGCTGATTAACGTACAGACACAGTCTGAACTGGGGGGCATATGGTGCACACCCTCCACCCCCATGTTATGCCTTCTACAGGAGAGTCTAGTCATTCTCTTAAGACCGCACAGCTACAAGTAGAGTACTATACTGGCCATTATCTTGGATTTGTTGAGTTTGGCACTAAATAAACAAGACAGCTCAACTTCCTTGTTTTGTGTAAAACTCCAAGAAAGCAACATTCTTCAGAAGCCCATTCCCCTTTCTATCTGCTGCCTGCAAACACCACCAAAGAGACTGTTTCTGGAAATATGTCAGTATGCTTTATCCACCTACCTATCTATATGATACACCAAAATTCCTTCCATGTCACAATTTTAAAACTAAACCACATTAAAGCTGAAAAACCAAAAATGGTCTTGAAAGGCTACAGCTATAGCATGTGCTTAATATGCACAAAGCCCTGGGTTCAATCCCTAGCACTAGAAGGTAAAAATACAACAGCAACAAAAACAATAAACTTCCACAAAAACTGGTCTGGGGAGATTATGAAGTCTCCTTTTAATGAACCACAAGATGATACGGTAGCCAGAGGCTTTGATGTTTCAGAAATCTGAACTATTTTATTATTTTCTAATTAGAAAAGGGATTGGTATAAATAGAGACCTGCATAAAGCATACTGAAATATTTCCAAAAATATTCTCTCTAGGGGGCCTGGCCCTAGCTCAGTCCTTTAAGTGGCTGCTTCCACAAAGCTGTCAGCCTCAGGTTGCTGGAGTTCGAACCTCACAACTCTCCCGCTGGCCAAAAGTGCCCTGAAGGCATTCAAGGAACAAAAAAAAAAAACAAAACAAACAAACAAACAAACAAAAAAAACAACAAAAAACAAAAAAAAACAAAACCCACCAAACAAACAAAAAACAAAACCCTTACAAAAATATTCTCTCTAGTGTAAATTATTAAATACACTTCCCAGGGCTGTCACCAGTGCTCCATATATTTACACTCTGAAGTTTAATCCGATTTCTTACACAGGTGGCACGATTACCTTTCTTCTCTACATGTACATCTGTTCCTCTTCTTCATTCCGGTTTTTATCCCTACATAGTCCATACCTAGTTCTATAGCCAGTACATTTTCTAGCTGGAATGTAGGGAGACTAATAAAACAAATCTAATCCATGTTGGAAATATTCAGTCCTGAGGATTATAAAACAAGCTATTTAGAAGATGTTCTTCTGAGTATGAGGGTTCTTATTAGTGAGGACTCGAGTGGAGAAAAAAAGGCATTTGTCAGTTTGAAAGTCACAGACCATTTTTATCATTCTCTAATTAGATAAGGAGAAAAAAATGAACTCTTGGGTAGCAGAAAGAAGCAAGTCTTCAAGGTCCTGGCATCTGCAAGGAGAGAAGGGGGCAAAAGAGGCAGTTCTTAATGCCTTTCAATGATGAAGCACCACCTATATCTGACAACAGGTCATACAATGATAATCTAAATTCTTGCCCTCTGCTGGAGGAGACTGCTATTTATGGCAGAAAACCTAGTATGGCCTTCAGATCCTTAGCTTTAGTACCACTCTGCACAGAAAAATCGATAGTTGTAGAGACATTCTATATAGACACTAACATTTACTTCCTGTGTTAGCAGGTTCACAAATACTCTCCAGAAAATGACTCCTTCAGGTAATCCCGAACTAATTCCAATTTAACTTATACTGATCCTTCTCTCCTCTTTTGTACTCTAGTTTTTAATTCAACAATATTTTAAAGCTATTACAATGCACATTAGAGAATAAAAATTAATATGGCTTTACTTTTATAGTAGTTGTATAACAAAAAGGAGTTGAGAAAAACAAATGAGATAAAGTGCATTAAGTACTAAGTGAATGAAGCATTTTTGTATACTCTATGTACATTTAAAAAATTATAACCGTAGGGCTGGACAATTAGCTCAGTGGATTAAAGTGCCTGAAAGCAGGCACAGGGGCCATGCTGGCCCTGCCTCTGGGGAATGCTGCGATGGCAACTGAGGTGGGGCGTGGTGGCACCAGCCTGTAATCCCAGCTCTTGGGAGGCTATAAACAGGAGAATCACTATATGTCCGAGACCCTGAACACCCTGTAGACCCTTCCCTAAAACACAGAAAAATAATTTACAACCATAAATTCCTTATGGCAATAAATCATGCCTATTTCTGTTGTATCCGTCTAAAGAAGCTAGAAAATTCAGTAATAAGCACTGAAAAATGAATTATTTTTAATTTTTTACTTTATTTTTAAAAATTTGTGTGTGTGTGTGTGTGTGTGGCCAGCTCAGCCCACCGCTGGCTGGCATGTGGTGCTGGGGGATTGAACCACAGTCCCTGTGCTTTGCTAAGCTTGTTCAAAGTAGGTGCTTTAGACCACTGAGCCATCTCCCCAGCCCCTATTTTTAATTTAATTTTTTTTTTTTTGGGCTGGCTCAGAATGCCTTCAGGGCATGTTTGGCTGGCTGGAGTTGTGGGGATCGAACCACAGCAACCTGAGGCTGACTGCTTTGTTGAAGCAGCCGAATTATTTTTATTAAGAGGATAATAATGTCTGTGGCTGCTTAAGGATTCTATCTAGGTCCAGGGAGATGGCTCAGTGGAGTAAGTGTTTCCTTGGCAAGCGCAAGGGCCTGAGTTCAATCCCTGGTTCTGCCAAAAAAAACAACTACTAAAAGGATTCCTATCTAACATACTTTTCTTTTTTTCTGATTTCTCAGGTGTTACACAGAATAATAAATTTTCAGTGTGTAAAGAGTTAAAGAGCGGAGAGTTTTGCCTTGTAAGTGCAAGGGCCTGAGTTCAATCCCCAGTTTTGAAAAAAAAAAAAAAAAGTGAAGAATTATTTTTATGTATTTATTTAGTGGTATTCAGGATCAAACCCAAGGCCTTAGGCAAGAGTGCTACCACTGAGCCACATCCTCAGCCCAAATTCTAAAGACACGTCTGGTAAGTTACAGAGACAGAAAGCTCTCTGAGGTTTTAATCTACAAAGTCACTATCTTTATTAGACAGCTATCTTTAATGTATGAACAATGTAACCCAGGATGGGCTTACAGATGTGTGCCAACACGCCTGGCCCAGGCTTTGAGCATCTCTTACACTTCTCACCACAAGAAACATTAGTTTTTGGTACAAAATGCAGTCTAATAGATTCATCTGCTTCACTGTCCAGAGAGTAAGACTAGAAAGTAACAGGTCAATTATTCATTTATTTAATATACAGTCACTAGCTGGAAATGGTGGGGCATGCCTGCAATCTCAGCACTTTGGAGGCTGAGGCAGGAGGATTGCCATGAGTTCAAGACCAGCAGGGGCTACATAATTTTTTAATTTTTGGTTGAGACAGGGTCTTGCTATGTAGTTCAGGCTGGCCTTGAACTCAGTGATCCTCCTGCTTCCGCCTCCAAAGGGCTGGGATTACAGGGCTATACCACTACACCTGACAGTCTGGGATACATAGTTAATTCAAGGCCAACCTAAATTATAATACTAAGATTGTCTCAACCAACCAACCAACCAACCAACCAATGAACCAAAGTTTCATCAAATATAGTCATGAAGACCTACTATGTGTAAGACAGTTGGGATATAATGCCAATCCCAGCCTTTGCAGTATTTTCTTTGCCATGAGCAATGTGGCTGGGCAACTTCAGCTGAGGTAGCATTTGAAATGTCAAACTTGGCTCTATCATGGATATATAGAGGAGGCTCAAGAAAAGGTTTCATCTGTGAAGAGTAAAAGATACTGGTCTCTTCATATAGATTTCTGTGAGGTTTTGCTAACTCAAATACTCAAATGAAATGAACAGTGCAAGACTCTCAAGAGACACAAAACTTTTAAGTGCTCATTAAAGAGAGTATGAATTTTTTTTGATGAGGATTAAACTGTACTGCACAAGGAACAAACTGCAGAGCAGTGAAGCACAGCTGTCTGATTAATCTCAGTCCATTAAGAGAAGCATGATAGATCTAGAATGTAACTTTGATATAAAAAAGGCAATGTGTAATAATCTAGGGAAAACAACTTAGCATGTTAAAGGAATTCTAATTTAACCAGTAAATGCCTATTCATTAGTGTGTAAAGTCGTAACAGAGGCTATATCCTTAAAAAACACATGTGCACACTAAGGTTTAATTTGGTACCATAATCTGAAAGAAAATTGGACCTAAATTACTTTATGTCCAGTTAAGTCTTGCAATCATCTGAAGATATAGTAATATAAAACTGAAATACTTACTTGAGAAAAATATTCAGTTACTGTGCATTTCCATCTACAAGTAGAAATATTTCAAAGTAAGTATACCACGTCAACTGAAATCCCCTCCATCCTCTATGTTTACTAAAGACAAATGACTTATTCCTGGGATATACTGAATAATAATATTATAAAAGTAGAATAAATTGGTGATTGGATTCCAATTAAGAGCACAGGAAAAGAAAATAGTCCTTTACTTATTCAGCCTTTTGGTACAGAATTTGGTAATCATTTCTTCATATCTGAAGTGAAATATTTTAAAAGGAGTATCTGCCACTCAAAAATTATTTCAAATAGTTGCAAAGGATGAATTAAAAAGAATCTGAATTTAGGAGCAACATTAGGAAACGTAAACTTGTATTAAATAAAATTCACACCTTTAGTATTCTTACTGCAGGAATTCTTTTATGAGTATCAAATCTCCACATAAAATCAACATTAAACTTGACTACTGAATTTGATTGATTCTCATCCAATTCAGTTTGCAACCTGAGTGGTGGAAAGAACTAAGCTTGTGAACCGAGGTACCACTGTATTTTGATATGAATTTAGTAACTACGTATCTAGCATGGCCTAGGATGTCTGGGGAAGACATCTGAATTCCATTCCTTATGCTGGTTCTTAAGGCTTTTCTCTTCATTTCCTTCTAGGCCCTTGCAATACAAATGCTGATCATAATTCCCTTTTGATATCATGCCTGGAAAATTAGGGAGGACTTCCTCTTAGTCCAAATTAAAAGCCTTTTTACTGGTTCCCAAATTTACTCATGGTACTTAATATCAGTGACTATCTCATTTTGAAAATACTCTTCTAGTTTCTGTGTTCTTGTAGTTTTTTTTTCTTTTTGCAGAACCGGGGATTGAACTCAGGCCCTTGCGCTTGCCAGGGAAGCGCTTATTCCACTGAGCCATCTCCCCAGCCCCTGTATTTTATTTTTCATATTTTTTTGTTTCTAGCCAATGTGAGACATAGGGTAAAATAAAAGAGGCTTAGGATGTAAATTTAAGAAAGCATTTATTTTCATGCTCATGTATGTGCAAAGCGTGTAGACATAAGAAGTCTGAATAGTAGCATTTTTTTTTTTTTAGTACAGTGAAGGGAATAAAAACATTTTATCTCCATTTCACTTACTGTTTTTCCATGGCAGAACATACGGCAGAGATTTGGGAACTCGCATGCCTGAAGCCAGGTTGCTCTTATGTTCCATAACTATGTTGCTAGCAGAACTGCAAAAAAAGAAATTTAATTATGTCATCATTATCTGTATTCAAGCAGGTGCACCTAACACAATCAAAATATTTTTTGTAATGTGAGTGAAAACAACAATATATATTCATGTGAAAAAATGTAAACACATTTCTCTCAAAACACCCTTATAATTAGAATGATTACCCTTTCTCTGGAAGGTTCTGTTTTTTATAGGCAGTAAGATGTGTCACCATTTTCCAGAAATAGAGATAAACAGCCTTGCCATCTACTGTTCAATAGTATGACAGTTTATCAACTCACTCAATAAACATACAAGATAAACTGAAATGTTGTTCAATCTAACCAAAGGCAGGAAACTTGTAATCAATGGAATTCATCTTTAAGTTTTTGTTTTAAAGTGCATATAAAACTGTATATAGGGCTGGTGAGATGGCTCAGTGGTCTAAAGCACCTACTTAGAACAAGCTTAGCAAAGCACAGGGACCGCGGTTCAATCCCCCAGCACCACATGCCAGCCAGCCCCACCCCCTGGTGGGCTGAGCTGGCCACACACACACACACACACACACACATAAATAAATAAATAAAATTTAAAACTATTTAAAAAAAAACCCAAAAACTGTATATACTCAGAATTTCTCTCACTCATTTTTTTCTTTTTGGCAGAACCGGGCATTGAACTCAGGCCCTTGCACTTGCCAGGGAAGCGCTTATTCCACTGAGCCATCTCCCCGGACGCTATTTCTTTCTTTTTTAAGACAGGCTGTTGCTGGATAGTTAAGGCTAGGCTTGAACTAGCAGTGATCTTCCTGCCTCAGATCTCCTGGATGTGGGGATTAGAGGCATGCACCACCACCTCTGGCTTAGAATTATTGATTTTAGAGACTCAGAAATAAAATTCAATAAGCACTTCATTTTATTACTTTTTTTTGGTACCAGGAATCAAACTCAGGACTTGTGCTTGCTAGGCAGTTGCTGTGCCAATGAAATATGTCTCTACTCCCAATATACACTTTATTTGGGGAAAAAATTAAGTTTATAATCTCACTTAGATTGGACACTTGATCTTATAAGATCCGAGCGTTGGCAACAATGGGGAATCTTATAGTTTTAAATTAGATACAAAAATTAGTGGGAAGAGATAAATGTTTTTCCCTACCCAATGGGTAGTCTGGATTTTTTAGTCTCAAATTAAAACAATTATTTTTTTTTGGAGACAGGGTCTTGCCACACAGTTCAGGATAGCATTGAACTCCTGGGCTGGCCTGTAACTTGCAGCAATGTTCCTACCTCATACCAAGTGCTGGAATCCGCCGCACCAAGCCTCAGAAAAAATTTTCAGAGTATTAAAATAACTTAAGGGCTGGAGAAATAGCTTGGTGGTCTAAGCGCCTGCCTGGCAGGCACAAGGACCCGGGTTCATCCTTGGAACTGCATGATGTACCAGCCCTGCACTGAACCAGCCACTGAAACCGGGTATGGTGGTGCACATCTGTAATCCCAGAGCTGGGGAGGCTGAGACAGGAGGATCACTAGGTGTCTGAGCTGCATAGTGAGACCCTGTACCAAAAAAAAATATAGACACACACAGAGACACACATACATGGAACTTATTTTTCCACTGGGGGTATAGCTCAGCAGCATAAGCGCCTGCCTGGCAAGTGCAAGGTCCTGAGTTCAATGCCCAGTATTAAAAAAAAAAGTAAACAGCAAAAAATTCAATTAAAACAAAAGCATGTCTGGTACTACTGTCTTTCTTAAGACCCTAAGATAGTATTTCTGTATTCCTAATGATTAGCACAAAGCACATATCCATTTTATGAATCAAGGATTAATGAAAAAACTCACCCAAACAAGTGTGAACTATCACCAAAGAACACCATCAAGGAAAGAAAGTGGCTTATGTTTACTAACAGGACACTGATATGGGAAGCGCTGAGAATGAGACCATTTCATTTACCTGTTGTTGCCACAGAAGTTGGCTGTGCCCCAGACAAACGGGGTGCTAGTTTGTTCCCACAAATCTGCCAAAGAAAGCAAAACACTGTTTGTGATACTACTACATGTCAGTTCATGATAGCTGAATCTGTAAGATGGAAATTAATACACCAAAGTTAGGAGATGCAAGTAAAAATTGATCAAGTACTTTCCCCAAGTGACAGAGAAATAGGAATTTAATTGAAGGATATAAACACTAGCTACATAAATAATAATAAATGTGCCTAGTAACAATCAAACACAGATGGCACAACACAATTTATGGAAAAAAAACAGATGTAAAGAAGTGTCTTTTGCAATGAAGAGGGAAAGGCTGTTCTACATGTCTGCATGGTGATACAAATGTGCTCATTTTGGGGCCTAATAAAAATAAAAACACATTCCAAACAACGCGGTATGTTCATAAAAAGGAAAATCTTCCTTCTGTTTTAAGCAAATGATCTGAGATTTAGATATGGTGAAGAGAAAGATATGAAGGCCCTTCACCTTTGTCCCAATCTTCATCACATGGCGGGCACTGCCATGTGCTCTCAGCCAGTCTCTCTCGTCCAAGGTTCCTGGTCTGGTTGACTGTAAGACAATTAAATTTGACATAAGAATGGGGCAGGGCCAAGTTACTGTGCTTAAAGTATTCAATAGCACAGGGCATGGTGGAATATGCCTGTAATTCCAGTATTTGAGAGGCTGAGGTAGCAGGAGCACCATGGGCTCCAGATCAGCCTAGTTTTCACACTGAGCCCAAGGTCAGCCTGAACTACAAAGTGAGTCCTTGACTCAAAAAACCAAAAAGGGCCAGGGATGTAACTCAGCAGTGTAGCACCTGCCTGTCAAGTGCAAGGTCCTGAGTTCAATTCCTGGTACCAAAAAAGAAAAGATTCCCCTTCCTAAAAAAACCCAAAAAACAAAAAACAAAAAAACCCCACCAAATAAAGGGAGTTAGCTTAACAAGAGGTTGTAGGGTAGCCTAATGGGTCTTTGTTTCTAAAACATGAATAGTATGAAAGCTAAACAGAGGAGGTCTTGTCTCTTTGATGACAGAAAACAAGAAAGATACCATGTTTATAGCAATACAGTAATTTTTACTTTTAAGACAATTTATGAGTAAAATTAGGCTGTTTAGAAGAGAAAGCAGTCTGACATGCATAAACAACCAGGCAACCTATTGCTGATATAGGCAAAAATCTCAAAGGCAGAAAAGTATTTTTTTTCTGAAAAAGTGAAGCCAAAATCAAGTTGACAGTATGGCACAATACAAATTTGAATGGTCTAGCCTATATTATTGCAACATTTTAGCTAGTTAGGCTTACCCACATCCTGCTCAATACAGCTCTTGTCATCACAGCTTGAGATATGGTGACTGATTTCGGCCCGAGGAACCTGGTGGCGAGCATTGAAGGGACAAGTAGCCAATTTGTTTGCAACATCAGGATGATTCTGTGGAACCAAAATTAAGGAATCTGTCAGTTCTTTGGAACTCTTAAAACCCAAGGGGAGTGGCTTAGCCTTATTCAATTAAAATTCCTCAATAAATTTAAGGGTTTAACTATGGTAGGCACATTTCACAGAAAATTTAGGGGGAATTATTTATAGACCACTCAAATATTCCTTCAAAATCATTAAATATATGCCTCTCTGTTACGATTATAGAGACAGACAATGTAGATATTGGAATTTAAGTGGCTTATACAGAGCTAAATGGTAAAAATGAACCATTTTCTTTTCTCTGTCAGTCACAAGATTACAGCTTGTAATGGTAGAACTCTCTGAAAGCTGACATTCAGGATAAATAGTAACACTAAACACACTCAGTCTGCATTGCGGTAGTGCCCCTACTACCACAATACAATAGTCTGGAAAATAGCTGTTGTAAAGAAGCTGCAGAAGAGACAAACCAATGATTTTTCAGATTAACACAAGGACACTTATTTAAAGTAATGATGCCTGAAATGAGGCTCTGAACAATTTGACCTTTATTTCAGCTATTTCACTAAGGAAAAAAAAATCTAAAGATAGAGTCTACTTTGCTGACTGAGTTCCTTGCTTTAAAGAAAAGGTAGAAAAGGTTTAAGATCACCTAAATCCTATGGTGAATACATGAACACTTAAGAAATGTATTAGCAAAAGAAAATGTTACAAATGAAAGTCAAAAAGTAAAAATTATGTGACACAGGCAGAATGCTAGACAAATTTACAGGATTAAGAAACTTGTGAGGGCAGGAATCTCTGTTTTTCACAGAGAACTAGGCATTTCATGCAAAGGTACTATGGACAACAGAAAACACAGGAATTACAATAGTGCCTTTGTGTCACTTTTCTCTCCCTACCTTTTTTTTTGGGGTGTGTGTGTGTGTGTGTGTTTGAGACACAGTCTTGCTGTGCAGTTCACGCTGGCCTTGGGCTAGCCCAAACTGAACGCACAATGATCCTCCTGCCTCAGCCTTCTCAGTGCTGGGATTACAGGTGTGTGCCACCTTCCCAATTTTTAATCCTGAGGAAATAATTTGAGAGGCTAGAGGAGGAAGACAAAGTGACATTTGTTGATCCACACTCTTTTTTTTTTTTCCAACATTTATTTATTTATTTATTTATTTATTTAATTTTTTGTGTGTATGTGTGTGTGGCCAGCTCAGCCCACCTGGGGGTGGGGCTGGCTGGCATGTGGTGCTGGGGGATCGAACCGTGGTCCCTGTGCTTTGCCAAGCTTGTTGCAAGTAGGTGCTTTAGACCACTGAGCCATCTCTCCAGCCGCTGATCCACACTCTTCAGGTTTAATTTTAAGTGATCCTTTTTCCAGAGATTAAAAAGAGGTAAAGAATCAGCAAGGCACACTATGTTTCTAGGACTGTAAAAGGAACTTGTTTGGTGTGTGCTATGGATTGAACCCAGGGTCTTGTGCCTGTTAAGCACATGTTCTACCACTGAGTTACACCCCCAGCTAACAGAAACATTCTGTAAAGATGTCAAATCTGAATTGTAAGCAGTTTGGATTAAACATTAAAAAATTGTTTACCAAGCTTATTTTTGACTGTTTTTGGTCTTTGTATCTGACAGCTACATTCTAGCAATTTTGTCAACATGTCTCTTAATATAGCTCTAGTTTATATCTACATCTATAAAAGAGTGACCAGAGAGAATTTTTTTAAAGATGGTGGAATCTGGAGAAACAGTTATTTAGGAATGCTATTTTCTTGGGTTAACTTTCTAGTTGTTCAACCTCCTGAAATTTCTAAACAAGAACAAAAATAAGAAAAAAAATATATTGTAGCACCTCGTTCTTTCAGGACAATAAACACATCAAATTTATAAGACGGATTGCTCATTGCTAACAAAAATTAGTGTTTTTCTTTTTTTCGGTACCAGGGATTGAACGCAGGACCTTGCATGTGCCAGGCAAGTGCTTATTCTACTGAGCTATCTCCCCGGCCCTAGTGTATCTTCTTCTTTACAAAGCGCAAGATCCAGTGATACTGTTTATATAGGGTGCTTTGTTACTACTTAAAAAATTTGTCACTAGTTTTTAATGGTAGCAGGGAGACCTTGTGCTTGCCATAAATGCTGCTGAGCTACATTCTCGGTCCCTAGAAGAAGAAAAACTTATGTATCCTAAGAAATAATAAACTTTCTATAAATATTGGTAGATAACAAGGAGGTAGGGCCTCAAAATAATCCTGGAATTCAACTAAAACATTTATACTAAAACTATTTGTTGCTTATAATACCTAGCTTTATTTTCTTAAACATTTTATTTATGTTATGAAGGGACTTCTCTTTTGCTTGCTTTTTTCTGATCATTAGGAGAGTGGTTGAGGAGTACTGAACCCTTTATCACTACTTTGATGATACAGGTATGATTTCAGATTCATATTTCCAGGTAGCAAGAGTCCCCTCTAAATGCCACAATCAAGTAAGCCTTCGTCCATGTTTCCTCCTCCTGCACACAGCAATGCCCGTTGGTCTCTCTGAAATACAATCACATTTAATACCTAGCTTTTTGAAAGAAATCAAGACGACAAGAGGACAAATTACAAAAATAATACCTTATCAGCTGAGTAAGAGATAGCTCAGTAGTGTAAAATCCTGCCTGGCAAGCACAGGGTCCTAAGTTCAATCCCCAATACAACAAACAAAGTAATACCTCACCTTTCTGCACTTGATAAGATGATAAGGAAACCTGCAGGCCCTGATCTGGTGGTTTTTGTCATAGGGACACTGTAATAGCTTTTCAGGGTCCAGGGAGTCAACTGAAAGAGAGATAAGCACATCGAAGTATGAATTATAACAGACCTTTGTAATACTACTGCATTTCAGGCACACTGGCTTAAAAAAAAAACCAAACACCACAACCCCCCCCAAAACAGAATCTATAAGCTAGATAATAGAAAAAGTTAGTGTAAAGAGAAATTAGTTTTAAAAAATTTGATTAAACAATATGTTACTGAGAATATAAAAATTGTTACCACTGAAAGTGTTTTTTTTTTTTTTTTAAACGGGCTTGCTTTGTAATGCTGGCTGACTTTGAACTGGCAGCAATCATCCTGCCTCAGCCTCTGGAGTGCTGGAATTACGGGCATGCACCACCATGCTTAGCACCACTGAATGTTAAAAAATCCAAAAGAACTAGAAAGTCATGGGTTGAAGAATCAGTTCATATTTTGATTAAATATTCCTTTCATTTAGATGAGGGAAGGGCTGGGGATACAGTTCAGCGGCACAGGAACTGCCTGACAAATATAAGGTCATAAGTTTCTTTCTTTTTTTTTTTTTTTT